AACCCAAGGCGACTCTGACAGGGTGACAGGAAATTGGAGAAACCTTTCAGTTTGTGCGGATTTGGCGCGAGAGGGCGCGAAAAATGCTATCGATAAGAACCCGTCACGGTGGGACTAGCCTGGGGTGTCGACACTTTTTCCCCGCATGGCTGACAGGGGCGGTGCAGAAATAAGTCTCCCGTTCAAGAGGAAGAGGAAGAATGGGCTGGTGGTGGAATTTTGTTGATTTAGCTGGTAATTCGCTCCTTTGGGGTCATTGGTTTGTATGAAATTTAATTTAATGGGGTTTGCGCGTGGTTATCTTATTGCACTCTTGGTACTGTGGTGTACTATCATATAGTACAGTACATGGATTCCACGAGATGGAGCCTAACCGTAGAGGCAACACTACCGGTACTGTAGAGGTGCAAAAGGGAGAGAGGAGTCGGGGATAACCGAGGATAACAGGTCATTTTTATTTTATTTTCTTCTTTAAGAAAATACTAGTAGTACCGGTACTTGCTCGAGTACGAGTAGAGAGCCTAGCCCTGTAATATTTACCATAAAAGTATGGAAACTACTTGTATCATACTGTAAGAACTCGAATGGACTGACATTGTGCCAAGACGCCAGAGCTGACTCTCCGAGTATCGTAAGGTCCGGCCATTTTTCTCCTCCATAACCTCCGGAAGCGGGCTTCGAGGTGTGTCTTTTGTCCCCTTTCCGGGGGTGAAAATTTTGGACTACCCAGCACATGGCCCGTTTATTCGAGTTCAAACCGTGTTTGCTTCCGGAGGGAGACACGATCGCGAGGGCTATTATTGGCACTGGTAGAACTGCCATCCACCGGTGCGATACGGCACAGCCCGGGGGGTGCTGAGCCATGTCGGTGTTGGGTTGAGCAGAAAGTCCGTTTCAAACCCTTGTCTGCGAGGGACTGTGGCCGTTGTTGCGAGTAGAGTACCGTAATACCTGTATCTCACAAATCTGGATGAGTGCATGCATGCATATTAGACTCCACTATTTTTGCTGGGGGAAGGTGCATGAATAGATGGAATGAGTACTTGTAACTTGTGCGAAATGTATCAATATTCCCCAGGCGGATTGTCCCCGGAGAATCACCGTAAGTGTATTATGTCCTATCTATCCATGTATGATAATGTACTATTCGTACAAGTACAGTATGGTTCCGGCACCTTGGGATCAGCACACGGTGCTATCTACTCGTACAATAGATTCAGAAGGCTGGTCCTAATATAGCATGTGACCTAACCGCTTTAGGCAATATCTTGGTATATTACTCAGCCGAAACATTTTCTTCTTCCATACCGACACAAGGGCTGGTCTCCGAAACATACCGGTACTCGTACCCAAACTTTACCTCAACTTTAAGGGCTACAGTACTGGTATTGGGGGGGTCCTCTCTAGGGTGAATCCGCTCTGTAAGGATTTTCTTCACATGATTTGGAATTACGCGGGTAAAATAACAACATGTGTCTTTAATCGAATCTTTTCTCCCGCTCAAAATCACAATTCAATTAAAGACGGCAAAGAGAACAATGTTATTGACCAAATTATGGACAAAACCCCCTTCCTTATAGCCATCTGCCCCCAATATCTCCCACGAGCCTGCGCCGTTGTTCAGGAGATTTGCGTAGTCTATAGCCATCGCCTCACACACGACGACAAAGTACCTGTGTTCTGCACCCGCAATATAAGGAAAACCAACACGAGCTCCTTCTTGGCAGCGCGACAGTACCATATGATACCAGTATCGAGGGAGAGCCCTAAGAGAGAAGGAGGTTATGCTGGGCCCAGAAAGAGTGAAGGCTAGGATCATCTTTTTTTTCCGTTTTTTGGTTGTGCCGGTATCAACCTGGGGATACTGTATCTGGTTTCCTTGGGTTGGGGGGGGGGCTTGAATCCAGGGACAATTCTGTTTGGGTCGCGGCTCCTGCGGTAGATTTTTCCCCTTCTCTATGGAAGAGACGGCTGGAGACTCGATGTGCTCGTGCTTTACTGTATTTTTGGAATCGGATCGTTCTATTTTCCCTTGCACTGTACCCACGGTAACTAAATCATTGTGGCGGGTTATGGTAGTTTGCTATTGAGAAAATTGGTATCCCTCTCACATGCTCACGAGATTACATGGTTTGCGGTACAACTGCTACGAGATGACTACCCCCTTCTCCGGATGTACCCCCCTTAATCCAACTGTAGCAGGGTAGGATAGGCTCGTAAATAGTGGGTAAAATATCTCCGGGACCGAGTTTGGTGATTATCTGGTGGTATAAGGTTTTCTCATGTCATGCTTTAACATACTTTCGCTCGCTGCTTCACGAGGGTTTAACTCGCGGGCTGGCACGGGTTCGTATCGCACAGGTATTACTTCTCATGTGCGGAGTGAATAGCGCCTATTAACTGGAGGTTAGTCCAGGTAGTTGGACTGCAGGTGCTTCGTACGGTAGCTCTCGGGTGCCATGCCTTAATCCCCCCGGAGCCTTGAGTGGAGGTACCAGTAAGCTACCGTGCCGAACAATGATCAGCTTCTTGAGAGCCTGGGGCACTGGCTGTGCTACACATCTGTTGGGTACTGTACCCCCGGCAACTGTCGTTCCGATAACTCACTTGAGGCCTTAATCTATCTATCTAGCTTTATTCTCGTATCACACTCAATATCAGGTCTTGCTAGCAGCACGTACCCGCCCCGCATCTATGTGCCGTTCCCAGACGGAAGGCCGCATATGGTACGCTACGGGGTCACTGTTCTAGGAGAATCGCAGCCCCGTCGGTGCGGGGCGAGCACTGGAGGGCAATATCGTAAAAGTTCTTGACGCCCCCTATCTGATTACCCGTGGAATTCAGCCCGTCAGCCCATGGCGTAAGTTTGGTTTGGTGCAAGTAGGCTAAGAGAATTGTGAATACCGGTTAATGAGATCTGGCACACCTAGTGAGCAAATCTTTCATTCTGCCGGGAAGGCGGTACCGGTGATCCCTCTCAAGAGCAGTGTCTCTAAATCCGGAGATTACAGGGCAAGCGGAGGCAGCGGATCCCGAAAGATTTCGCAGTACCACGGAATACAATTAGGATAATACTTGCCAACCCTGGCAACCGGTCTTCTCCCCATTTGAATTTGAATGATTAACGTCTTTGGACTCCCTACCATGGTTATTATAGGACGGTTAATGATTCCGATGCCGTAAGAATTGGCAAGTCCTTGCAGCATAATTTGTCGAGATTCGTTCGTGGCACCTATCTTCAGCGCGGGTACTTGCAGCGCTTTAGAATCGCACTCGGGGTTGATCTATTCAGTCACTTTTCATGTCAACGGGAAGTGAAGAAACTAGGTAGCTATCCGTTTGAACGTTCATCTCCCAGACCGCTGACACTGTGGAAAAACTTTTGTGCTACCCCAGTCACTATCTGAGACACTGGTTAATAAGCAACTTTCGTTAATTACTGCGCCTCGGGGATGTGCAAACTTCGGACCGCAGCTGATATTGGCTGAATTCAGACCACAGATACCGTAGTGCAGTACTGTACCGGTCAAGGCTATGTGATTCTGGTCGCACTCGGCATCGCTGAAGGACACGAGGTAGAACCTTAAATATCTCTGTCTTAGACACCACAGGTGGGCACGAAAAATTTTCATCCTCAGTAGTTCAGGAGCTTGCTTGGTCCTATTTTATTTATTTATTAATCTTTTCGCACCTAAGAAGTGCAAATTGAAGGCTTTGAAGCTACCCGGGGTAGCGCCATGGGTAGCAAAATCTGTGATCACTGGAACCACTTCACGATGGTGTTTATTGGATGCTGCAAGGAACTTTTGGTATCATATTCTATCCGTAGGGTGGTGTCAGAGATTCAGCTCTTTAGTTAGTTATCGGCCTATCAATTGAATACTTTCAGAGTTGACATTGAGTGAAAAACATTTCAGCTATCGTGTCGATTGGGAAAAGCAACGTGTGGGGATTAGGAGAATTTATTTCTGTGCGCGTCGGGGGGGGGGGTCCTTGGGGTTCTATGTCAGAACCTAACTTTAGGTCGCTGGCTATGCACAACGATTTCCGAAGTGAACGTGGTTCTCCTAGAGAAGCGGTTTGGAAAACGACTCCATCGCACCCGGTGAGAGATAGACGAGTTATCTAGTGTGTTTGCCTGCATGAGGATATCATTGTGCAATTTTACATTGCAGCAGAGGAATGCTGGTACAGTCGCACCTCGCTGTCCCGGATGGCCAAAATCCGCAGAATCTGTCCGGGACAGCGGATTATCCGGGACAACAGGGTACGTTCTGGTGCAAAAAAATTCAGATCTCAGAGAATTTCGTCCGGGACAACGGGGGATCCGGGAGAGCGGGGTCCGGGACAGCGGGGTGCGACTGTATTCATCGGGGAGGGCAGAATCGGGCAATCTCCACAAACGGTTTGGATGTCCGTGGATAGCACTTTGAGCGACCCAAAGTAGTAGCAACAGCGAGAGTAGTACGATTTCCTTACTGAGCTTCATCGGGACAATGTTTATTTACTCTTTACTATAGGGGGCAATGTCTACCCACTTCTGTAAGAAAAACATTCACGACCAAAGTTTACTATCAAATCCAAGCTCCCCAAGTCGCTCAGCTTTGATTAGTTATCTGCTTAATTGGGTTGAAATAGTTGTACTGTACTCGAGTACGTTTTTTTTGGGTGCTGGTCCATCCAGCCTGTAGGTGCAGTGTATGATACGTGTAATATTATGATCCTGTTTATCGGAGGATATCCGGGTGTCTGCTGGCACTATCAACCCTTAAACCCTGCCACAGACACGGGGCCATTCGTCATGGAGTTGAAATCCTGCCTCTTTCAAGCTGAGCCGCGTTATTTCTTTCACAGCTTTCTACATTGCACACATCGAGTGGCCATTCCTGTGGCATCCAAGACGGAATGCTGCCGCTAGGTTCACTTTAGTGTAGTGTCGTGAGAAATTGTATATAAGCTGCTGGCGGTCGAAGCTCTTCAAGAGCACACACGAGGCGAGAGTTCGCATTCGGTCCATCCACAAATACCGTTCCTCACCCATCTGAAGACAAGCATTTCAAACAAAAATGGTTGGTCTAGGGAGAATCCTCGCATGTCTAGCTGTCATAACTTCCGAACTGGTAGTCTATGCGGCTCCCAGCTGTTCTCCACGTCTCAACCCTCGAAGTACACATTTGTATCCCAGGGATGAGATATGCACCGCGCCCTTCAACCCCTCGGTAACCGCGCCCAAACCTAATCCATGGAATCCTTTAAGCAACGCCGAAGTTATCAATCTTCTTGCATGGCTCCACGCTCCGGCTCAGGGGTTAAACTTGACGGCGTTTGATAACGCGTCGGCTTGGGATAATCGGGTTGAGGTTACGGAACTTTTGCCACCGAACAAGACTGATGTCCTGACCTATTTGGATGGCTCAGGGCCCGCGCCCAAGAGATATGCTAGGGTTGTCATCTCTTTCGGTGCGACAGAAAATCCCTACTGGCAAGAGTTCATGGTGGGATATGCTCCTTCCTTCGCTTTGGTGCGATAAATATCGAGTCTATTTGGGATCTAACGATTGGGATCTTGTAAACTAGGTTGGCCCGATTCCGGTTGTGCAAAGCGTTACCAAGATTGAACCACTAAACTACCTCTACAACAAGGGGGAGGGGAAATCTCCGAATTATGCCGCAGATGATAAGGTTCGAAGAGCATGGCTTGGCCTCATTGCATTAAATATGTCTGACATCACTCTGGATATTTTGGGAACGGTAAGTTGTTGAGGTGCTCCGACTCTGGAGGATCTTAAAGCTTTTGCGCGGTGGGAGCGTAGAATCCACTGGTAGTTGATTGCTAATACTCTCCATTAGGATTATGGTAATTCGAGCCTCTGGGGGATAGACCCCCTCTGGGAAGAGAACGGAAGAATCATTAATTGGGTTCAGTTTTGGTCTAACCCGACTGGCGGCTACGATTCTTCCACTCTTCTCCCTCAGGGTCTCTATCTCAAACTAGGTTAGCCGCTTGTCCAACTCTGGCCCCCACTCCCGCACACTCTAGCAAATCCCATTAGGCTAACTTGACTGGTCAGACATCACGGGACGTGATATGAGCGGGTGGAAGTTGCTTAACATTCTCTACGACAACAAGCTTTACAAAAGCATTGACGAGTTTCGGGCTGCTTGGAAGTCTCCCGGCTTTAGAAAGCTCGCCAAGCAAGCCGACGGAGAGTGGGCTGGCACCGGCCAGACTGGTACAGCGCCCCCGTTAGACATACGATCTCCTCCAATACAAATCCAGCCCGACGGACAGCGGTTCGCAGTCGATAAAGATGCCAAGTATGTTGAGTGGATGGACTTCGCCTTTTACATTGGCTTCACTAGGGACACCGGGGTCAATCTATATGATGTTAAATACAAGGGCAAGAGAATCATTTATGAGCTTGGCTTGCAAGAGGCAATTGCCCACTATGCCGGCAACGACCCCACGCAGAGTGGAACATCGTATATCGATAGTTTCTACGGGTTTGGGCCTAATGTATTTGAGCTGGTTCCCGGCTACGATTGCCCCGCCTACTCCACGTTTCTCGACTCGACGGTGCATGTGGATGGCAACACCACGACCCATAAGAACAGTATCTGCTTGTTCGAGCATGATGCCGGATATCCCCTGCGGAGGCACACCGCTGCTTCCTACGTTTCCGTGACTAGAAACACCATCTTCACACTTAGGTTTGTAGCAACGATCGGTAACTATGACTATGATTTCGACTACAACTTCTATCTCGACGGCTCAATAGAGATTAAAGTGAGGGCTTCGGGCTATATTCAGTCAGCTTTCTACGCCCATAACGAAGACTATGGATATCAAATCCATGATGCCACATCCGGGTCCATGCATGATCATGTTTTGAACTTCAAAGCGGATATTGATATTCTCGGGACGAAGAATACGTTTGAGAAAGTCGGCATCGTACCGGCAACCACGGAGTAAGATTGCCGGGGCTTCTTTAACCTTTCTTTTCTAGGGGTCTTACGATGCTGACCCCCTACCTCACAGCTATATTTGGTCGACTTCCCCGCGGAATACCATGCGCCTCGAGCGTTCTTCGGTCAAAAATGAGGACGAAGGAAAGATAAATTGGGCCACAAATGGTGCTACCATGTACGTCGTCGTGAACAAAGATCAGCCAAACAAATTCGGATCATCCCCTGGATACAGGATTATGCCTGGTGAGTGGATTTCCTAAAGGGCAAAGCCAACATAGGTGATGCTCGAGAGACTGAAGAAGGGAAAACGGTGCTAATGATATCTCTGGGAACCGTTTAGGAGCCGGAACACCCATCCATCTCACCATCCAAAACTCTAGTAACCTTCAAAAAGCAGCGGAGTTTGCCACTCATCACCTCTACGTTACGAAGCATAAAGACACCGAACTGCATTCGTCGACAGCTGCAAATTCAATGAACCCGAAGGATCCACTCATCAACTTCTCAAAGTGCTTTGATGGGGAATCGTTACTCCAGGAAGACATGTGCGTAGTATCTCTGTCCCTCATACTATCTGATGCCAAAAAAAGACAAAAATGGGGAACACCGCGCTGAAACCAGGGCACGCATCTCAAACAGCGTCGTCTGGTTCAATCTGGGAATGCACCACGTCCCCCACACCGGAGATCTACCGAACACCGTCTTCACCACAGCCCAATCCAGCGTCTTCCTCTCCCCGCACAATTACCTACTGAGCGACCCGTCACGTGCCACGTCACAACAGGTGGAAGTCAACTCCGACACCGGCGACGCGGGTGTGACCGTGAACACGTTTGGCTCAACTTTGCCGTCGTGCACGAGACCCGATTTGGTAAGTGTAAAAAAGTTCTTTTCCAAAAATCACCTTTTGCTTTCTTTTCTTTGCTTTGCTTTTGGGTCCATTTTTTGGCTGACGCGCTCACCTGTTCGTGAAACTGCCTGGTAGGCTGTGCTGTATCCCGATTTATGCTCTTATCAGGGCCCGCAGAGAACCAGAAAGTTCCCGTACGATGGGAACCCGGAATAGTCAAGTTGAACTGAATTTAGTCAACGATGGGTTTCTTTCCTTTTATTTTATTTTTATTTTAGCTTATTTATTCATCTATTCACCTCAAATGGCTATGCAGGAATAAATAATTGTAGTGTGGAGGAGCGGGGTAAGTATTCAAGTATGATAAGCAAATGTGAATGAATTATTACCGTACAATTATTAGTGTTGGCACAAGTGATACAGAGGCGAGATAAAGGAGCAGAGTACGGCTTCAATGTTACATTAGCCCGGTTACTTTTTCCTTGTTTTGCGAAAGATCAACCTGCCCCCCCCAGTCGTGGTATGGTAGGCAGGGAAACGGACGGACATTTACGACATTTCTCCTCTCCAGGTTTCTCGAGAGGAAAATAGTGAGAAAATAATGCTGTAAAGGAAGGGAACAAAAAAGAGCGGAATTTGTGTAGGAGAGAGGAGGAGGAGGAGGCAGTGTTGCAGGATGGTCCGGTGAGAAAAGCTTGTCTCTCATACAATGTCGCGAAATAGTAGTGTCAGTGTTACACTTGGTTATTACAGTACAGTAGCTGCGAAGGTGCATATATATGGTTCCCTTACCCTATCCAAAACTATTTCGGCTCCCCTCCCTCATTCTCAGTGCATCATAGCAGCGGAATGGCATCCGTAAAAATCCTGTAGTGTACGGTACCCGTACTAAATTTGGCCGTTGTGCGGCGGGGCACCAGGAAATCCAATGAGGGCGCTAAGGTGGCAAGGAATAATTGCAGTATTGTTAGTTGAGCTAGTGTAAGTCCAACTTGTGCGACTAAGAGGGCGCTGTTGCTCTCTCTCTCTCTCTCTGTTCTCTCTCTCCAACCCAGCAACCAAGCAAGCATGATAAAGAAGTAAAAGAGAAAACGCCTGTGCCCATGAACTCGCCGTCCCAGAGAGGAAAGAAGCAAAGCCATATCCCCATCACCACCAACCACTACACGGAGTTCGGCTCCTGATTAGCCCCCGCTTCCGTCGCCGCTACCGCTAACTGTTGACGTTTTACCGTAGCTTATGTTGTCATCGGCTTCTGAAAAATGAAAAGAAAAAGAAAAAGAAAAAGAAAAAGAAAAACGGAGAGGCTCTAAGTATAGCGCGGTCATAGTATATCACTCGGTCATTGTTGGGGCTGTGACCAGGTGAGATGGGGAGAAACGCAAGAAGGAAAGAAGGAAAGAAGGGTTTCTTGGTTGGGCTTTGTGGGAAACATTTTAGGGCGAGTTGTTGTGTGACAGGCACCGTCAAGCGTTTGTTCACCTTTTTTCCTCCCCCCTTCACTCCGAAAGGGAAAAAGAAAAAACAAATTTTTCTGAGCTGCTTTTCTTTTTTTCTTTCTTTTTTCTTCTTTTCTTTTCTTTCTTTCTTTCTTTCTTTTTTTTTTTTCCTTTTCCAAAGAGGTCATCATGGTGGTGGGTTTCATTCATTGTACTAGTACAAGTATCTTGACGTTAACTTGCTTTTTTTTTTTGTCGTTGTGTTCCCAGTGCGAGTATACGTACCGTACCGTTTAAGCAAGCACGGTACTATATTTTCTTTTTTTTTCCCCTTCCCCAGCTCCAATTCCGAGAATTCTTTTTTTCCAATGATCTGCCCCGATTATTTCATTTTTTTTTTTTTGACTCTTGGGAGGTTAAAAATGGGAAGGGGAAAACGCCCCCGTAAATTTTAGCGGCGCGAAGGAGAGAGAGGAATGGTAAGGGGAGTAGAACCCGGTGAAAGCTTGAAGGGACCTACCTACCTGCGAGACAGATCTCTTCTCTCTCTCTCTCTCTCTCTCCGTGACCTACCGTATCTGACATGCATACATAAAGATGAGAGAGAGTGTTCCCCCCCCAAAAAAAATGAAACAATGGCTATCTGAACGTACGATAGCTGAAACAGGGTGTTTTCTCTTTTTCGCAGTGGAAGGAATATATATATCTACGGCTGAGCCCTTTTTTTTCCTTTCTTGTTTATATCCTGCTGTACGGTATCGTCCTTTCTTCCCTCTATCTCTGGCTCACTCACAGATCGCAACGACCTCCCCCCCCGCCACACCCACACATCCCTGTGATTCACACAGACCCCGGCAGGGGACAACCGTACGGTACAGTTACTCCTCAATAACCGTAACCCCCCCCCAATCTTGGTCGATATATCTCACTTTGCTTCACTTTCTCGGGATATTGATTTTCCTACTTGTACTTACTGGCTCGCTTTTCTTGCTTTTTCCACCATAGGTTTACTTTTTTCTTCTTCTTCCATCACTTCTTTTTTATTTTGTTTTGTTCTTCCTGTGACTCGGAAGGTTCGGTAGAGTGTGCTATGGGAAAGGGACTGACCGCATTCCACTCAATCACAGGCGTATCGATAGCAGGCGAGGTTAATATAACTTAGATTTTATTATTATTTTCTTTGGAAAAAAAAAAATCCAGAAAAATGGTCGACGTCCACTTGGGGGTGTGCCAAAGTGCAAATCAAATCGTGAAGCTCGAACTTGATGCATATATACCGGTGATATAATACTCGTATAAGCAACCGGTACGGTACCTGGACCAGCAAACCGTTAAAAGTGCAGTTTGCGCATCGCCTCAACCATTCTGTACTCCATCCCTGCAATAGTTTATCGGAGGAGGGGGGGGGTGTTTGTAAATATGCTACCACGGGATGGAGACTGGTTTGAAAGAGAGAGAAAAAAGGTATTTGAATTTGGTAGCCCCGTTTAGATGGATACTCCAAGTGCTCGAGTAGAGGCTCGATTGTGAGGGTGGGTGGTGTGAATGCAATTTGTGGACAAACAAGATGCTTGCAACTCTTTGGTTTCTTTTTTTTTTTGTCTTTCTTGGGTCCTTTTGCTTTATTTATTTATTTTGTTTTATTGTCCGCTGTTGTATGTAACTGTATGGTTTTTGTGTTCACGTTCTCTTACTCGTACTATTGCTTTTTCTTTTTTTTCCTTTTTCACCTTGTTTCCGTTTGAAGAGAAGAGTCAAACTGGAGTGCAGAGGGGGATCGTTAGTTGTGTAGAAATCATAGGGTTCCCGAATGAAAAACATACTTTCCTACCACGTTGATATATTAGTTAGAGTATTTGGGATTTCCGAGCTATCCCACGCCGGTGGGGCATGCCGGGGTGTCACTGACTGGGTTCTCTCGCAGTTGCGGCGAATTCATCCATTCGCTCTCTCTCTGCCTTTCCAGGACCAAATAGAACTCGAGTATACGGTAGTGTTCCACTGGTTACCCACACACCACCCTTCCTCCTATGGGCCCACACTTTAGGGAACGGCAGTTTGGGCGAGCGAAAAATATATGCTCACACTGATTGACATACTCCCCAGGGTCCTGTCAGACTGAGAGGTCGAAGACCAGGGAGATGGAAGTGGGGGGGTGGGATGGCAGCGGCGGCGGTGGTGGTGGTGGTGGTGGTGGTGGTGGGCTGTGGACACAGTTTGGGACTCATTAAGATGAACAGTTGGAAAAAAACTTATTAGTGAATTACCGTAAAGGGAATTTTGGGTCACCGACTTGACGCTTTCGGGTTATGCGGGTAAAAAGTACTTTGTACCTCTTTGATTCACAGCCAAAAAAGTCATTGGCCGAAGGCAGGCGGGGTGCACAGCCAAAGCGGAGCACGGTGAACTGGGTCTCGACGTGGCCCTCGTGGTGACTGTAATGTAGCAGGGAAGGATAATGGGTCAGGCGCCGGGGTGTCGATTTTTATTTTTTTCAATAATTAGCAGCATTTTGAATAGAGCCTTGTACAACCACACTATCCCACCCCGTGAGTGCACTCATCCATCTAACTCTCTCTCTCTCTCTCTCTCAATACCCTATCCTTCTTGACTTGGCGAGGCTGAAAGCCTTAAAACCTCAAGCAATCGCTCCCGTTTACCGCAGTTGACGACTATTACGAGACTTTATAAACTCGGCGAGCACTCTTCTTCTCCGGACTCTCTCGAAATTCGAAAGTGTCAAAGCGTACGGATACCCAGAGAGACTCTTGTCCTTCCAACTCTTACGACGAAAGAATTGCTATTGCTACTACCACCTTCTGCATACAGTAACTTTCGTCCTCTCTCTACCACCACCACCACCAGAGCCAACACTCTTATCAAATATTCAACATGACCAAAGCTTGGGACCGAGAGAAGTCGAGGATGCATGAGCTGTAATTACCTCCTCCATTTCTTTGTCCTTTCTTTGAAGGTGGCCCACCCAGCTGACATTTGATAGCTACATGGTCCGCAATATGAAGTTATCCCAAATGCAAGAAATCATGCGGGAACAGCACGGCTTTACAGCAAGGTAATTCCTGAAGAATAAAACCCTTACAGGAAAAAAAAAAAAAACTAACGCTTATAAAAAATAGTGAGCGGGCATACAAGCAAAAGTTTAAGGAATGGAAGTGGTTCAAGAAAACTCCGGTAGGTCCCTTGATCTCCATTCCCACCTGCCCCACCAGTTCGCCCTTGGAATGTTTCAATTTAAGTTTTTGCGGGTGTCTCGGGCGCAAGAGAGGGAGAGAGAGAGAGAGAATAAAAAGCTTATTCAAAGCTCCTAGCGCAACCAAGGAGTAAACCCAGACGCGATGACCATCAGCCTCGGGCGACCGTCGCCCACTTCACGCTCGTACGGACACTCCAGCGCCGACCTACGAAGGTGTTCGGACTCGAGTTCTTTAAGTAGCATGGACCACCATCATGGCCAGATGCCCCCCCCGACCCCGTATCCCGACCCAAGTGTAAGCCCCGAACATAGCGTTTATCCAGCTACTCAGCACAGCTTGTTGGGCTTGGGACCCGTTCACAGTCCACAGCCGGTCGTTCGAGATACCTACCAAATATCGCTACCACCAGTGGCGGAGTTACAGTTGCTGCCTTTCAAAGAGTCTGTAAAGGATAGTGTAAGGACGGCTCAGATGCACCTGGACTCGGGGGATCTGGAACTCGCGGGGGATTACCTTGAGCATAGCTTGAAAACTTTACAATGGTTGACTTCCAAGGGGTGTCGGTAGATGACGATTTTTCTTCTTCTTTTTTATTCGTTAGGGACATGGGTTTTTCTTCTTCTTCGCCTCCTCCTCCGCCTCCTTCTTCGCCTCCTCCTCCTCCTCCTCCTCCTTTCTCCTATTCTTTTCTTTTTACATTCGTTATTCGGTGTTATTGTCTTTTTTTTCGTCTCTTTTTTTCTCTTATTTCCAGGGGCGTCAAGGGTTCGACGATCAAGGGCTATCGTTATGCAAATTTTTTTTATGGGAAAATGCACGAAAGCGAGAGGGGGATCAAAGTCGATGCGCATCCTTTCCGTGGTTAATGTGCATTACACAGATTAGAACTGTCACATCCCCCAGATGTGGACCTGCAGATAAGAGCCTTCTGACTAGTGAAAGTCGGCTCAAGAATACAAATCATCTTCAAGAAAACAAAAAAGGAAAAAGGAAAAAAGACCAATCAACCAATCTTTCACGAGTGATTAAGTGTGAGCGCCCAGTAGGAATTTATTAGGAAATAAGAAAGAAAGAAAAACCCCAAAAGACTCCCTTCTTCTCTGGTCAGCTATGCTACTGATCCTGGTAGGCCAGATCCGGCGCCTATCATGTCCTTTTAAAATAGAAGTGGTCTGAAATCAGTTAGTGCGTTATTGACATCGGTGCCCTGTCCATCTGCCTGCGGCAGGCCGATCAATTGGGTTTTCCTCTAGGCTAAGGCTTTTGGTAAACCGATTTCCCGAATGCCCCCTCCCAGAGTGCTGTACGGTATATCCCAAGGCTGAGAAATCTCGCAACTTCTCACATTTCCCCGCTTCCCAGTGATCTGCGCATTCCCGTCCAACATGGAAGCTTGAGGCAGTTCTGATGGGATAGAGGTCATGAGAGATCACTCATACTCGCTCTTTCTCGCACTTTGGCTCATCCCGTTAGGCCTTCATGATCCCTCATATCCGTAAGCCCTCGGCTGGGTGCATTCGGGCCTTACCGCTGCTGGGAGGGAAAGCTCTGGGTTTCCGGAGAACCTCGTGGATGAGATGTAAGTAACTTGAGACTTTTTTTCTTTGTGTGTGCTAGGGCACTTGTATGATATGACACCTCCTAATTCCAACTCGCGACTTGAGCCCGATTCGAGGGATTTCTCACTTTCCCTCTCTCCAAAAGTCAGTAATGTGCAACTCTCGGACTCCATAGCTCTGGACTAACAGCATGATGCCGCCGGCATGTTTTCTGGGGTACCGTAGCAGATCATTGATAAACCTTTATCCTTGTACATCAGTCGGTTGCATCATTTTCGCACCGGCACGTGTTGGAATCATCATCAGAAATCACTAGACTGGGCTCACACTCGCTCACTGACATGCATATATTGATATCGCACCTTTCTATCTTCTTCCCACTCCCGACAAGTAAGGAATTTATCTCACCCTACGCGTCATCTCCGCCGGCCATACTGGGGACAGATGGATGTTCCCATGATCACCCTTCCCATTACTTTGGTGACCGGCAGGTAAATTCGTTAGTAGCCTGATCATCTCGCACCAATCTATCCTACTGTTCATTCATTACCATAGGTTGACTTCCCTCGCACGCCCGTTCATCGTAACTGACCACCAACCGCACTCCCCATCACATCCTCTACCCTCCCACAACCCGATCCATAATCCTAGCGGAGCTATTTCATTCCACCGAAGAAGTGGGACCAAGTCCCTCTCTCTCTCTCGACGAGACCTACATGTGCGGAGCGGGCCGCCAAAAAAGCCGCCGTCTCAAGCTCAAAAGCCCACCCCCCCTCTTCCCTGGGTATTCCGTATCACTAATTGCTTTTTGGAAGGCTGAACGAGGCTGAGAATGTGATTGAGCTTTTCCCAGGATACCCGAGGAAACTTGAATGTTCAGATTGACGCTCCGGGATTACAAGTGTACAGATATCGGTCCGCGGTACAGAAAGGTACTGTAATACTGACACGTGGGCCTGGTCGGCCCTCATTCGCGGGGTTTGCGGTGTTTTTATTCACCACCGGGAAGAGGGTGGGATAAGGATGGGAGAGCATAACAGCTTCTCGAAGTGGGGTGGGGGGGGGGTAAAAGAAAGAGAGAGATCAAGGGAAAAAAGCGCCTATCAACTAAATACCGAGATATCAAGGGTAAGATTCGCATTGCGGTAGTGCAGATGTTTATCGCTTTGGTATTTTATAATCGTCATGTGTTTTATGAAATGTATGTAGGTTTTTTTTCCCGCTCAGGGAACCTCAACATACTGACGGTCCACTTAGCTCGGGCTTTGGCTACCCGAGCGTGCGTCGCCCGGCAAGAAGCACACGGTGTGTAAAAAAAAACACTAGATTTCCGGAATCCTGGAGAGGCTCTCACCCTACATCACTCGTTCTGGTTCTCTCTAGCTCCATGATCGGCAAGATGGAGACTTTGGTTGGCCGTCGACGATACGCTCCTTTAATCGAGCATTCCATTGCGAGAAATAAAATACTCACGCGGACAAAAAAGAGTTGTTAAGGCCCATACTACAGTTCCTGTGCTTTCTATTCCCTGCTTGCTACTAACCAACGATATTTTTTTGATTTTGATTCCCCCCCCCCCCCGAGGGGCGAGGAATGAAAAAGAAAGAGTCTAGGTCTACCTATGCGGTAGGCGCGGTGTCTTCCATTGTGGGCTTATTGGAATTTTTTTTTTCCTGTGTCTCGAGATTTTGTGTGGGTATGCCCTTCGGTGGGCTTCTAATTATAAAATACCTCTTGGATATCTATCTCCCTATGGATTAACCGTACTGTACCTACTATACCCATACCCTTCACATACATACATGTTGGCTAGCAAGGTGGGTGGTTTGGTGTGAATCCCGACAGTGAATCTCACCAGGCTGTGCAAAAACCTCAAGGTCAGAAATTCGCAGGGAACTAACCAGAGGAATGCAATAACCCATTGGTCATAGCGTTTTGTTGTGTGGGAAAAGGGGGGGGATATTTTTCCCAGCGGGTTGGAACGAGCCCTGGTCGACTAATCGCGGCCAATCACTGATATCCCGGGTGCACTTGGGCAATAGCTTTCTCCTTCTTCTGTTTCGTTTGATAGGAGAAAGAGCTCCCCCCCTCCTCTTAAGCTCGGGTTTGCAAGGTATGGTTCATGGAAAGGATAATGGTACATGGATCTCTCCCCTCGCGATAGCTAGGGCAGCACGGGAACGACATCGGCACACAAACCTGAGCGTGAACTTTCTCGAGGAAAACTACTTGCTGCGATTCTCCAGGATCATGCTGGGCCAACGACTCCCTACATGCTGTGGAGTACATACACAGTTACCGATAGCCTACGGTATCATGCCTGCGTCAGTGCATTGACCGGAAGTACCCCTGCCATTCGACACCGAATCGTGCCAAGAATCAAAAAAATCCGATCCGAACAATCAGGCAATTGGTCCTTCCTCCAACGAAGACGGTTTCCAATTCTGGCGAAAAAAGAGCTATTTGCCTAGGTCCGTGTTGCCAAGCGGTCTGGGCGTCGGAATTGATAGGTTGGCCAGCGAGCCATCCCCAGTTGATTGGTCTCCAGGTTTTCCGGAATGAGACGGATACCGTTTCCCCCTCGAACTGGACGGAACGAGGGTTCCGTCATGAAAGATCACTCGCGCATGATGTTTGATTGACATGGTACCCGGTACGAGCTAATATATCGTGGGATCGTGAAGCGTGTTCAACTCATGCGGGAAGTGCCGGAAGAGGTGTAAAAGCGTGCCGCATTGTGAGGGTGCACAGTTGGAGGCGATGCCCTTACTCCTCCTACCCGGCTTTGGGGGTGTACTAAATATAGTACCGCTTTTTCAGCATCAAAAGGACACTGCAGTAATAACAGATCATCCGTATTTTTAAGATGGCTGCCCCCCCCAAAAACAAAAGAGGATCGCGCGTTTGCTGGGCGGAGGTTTCCAGAAGGAAATCACCAGCTGGCATCTCTGCCATTCGTATCTCGATCTCTGGTCCAGCTGTCGTGTTCCAGAGGTGGTACTTTCGTTGGCATAGCACCAGAGTCATACCACTGTTTATTTTTGCTACGGGGATGCGATTGAGATACGCGTAATGGAGTTCATTAAAGTGTTTACCAAAATGCCGAATCTTTGGCTTGGAAAGGATGGATGGGTGGTCTACACTGCCCCTCGGAGAAGTATCGGAGACGAATATCTGGGGGTAATGGAAAGCCGTGATTTGAGTCACGGAGTAGAGATGTGAGTTGGGAGAACTTGTGACCTCCGAAGGCTGTAGTCACAGGAGAGTGAGTTTTTTTAATTGATTCAGTATGGGATTTCCGGTGAGCGAATAGAAACAAGCCGGAGCTGTTGAGCTGAAAGTTTCCATAGACATGGTCTCTCGATCATCGCTCTCTATCTTTGCTTAGTGGTGCTGGGATTTTCCCCAGGGCGGATGTGCAAGTGGAAGGGCAGAAAGACTTTACATTGATTTCCTACGGGTTTTCTGTATTCCTCTTGCCCTCCATGACATTTCCCGGAGCTACGATAACAATCCTAGACACGGAAGCCTCTGGTTAGCCCTCCGTACCGAGGACCCTAGGACTACTCCACGGTGCAGAAACTTAGAGAGGAAGCTATTGACTACGCATCCCGAGTTCGTCTCTGATACCTCATTACAGCAGCTGCTGCTGCGAGGTAAACGCTTGCGCATAACCGAGATTCCTAAGACTATGGGAGTATCAACTCCGCCTACCGTCGGCCGATTAGAACCAGGTTCCAGAATACTCATAATAGAACCTATCAGAGTGTTTGACCCCTCACTGGAACTTTCTCACGGTACGCGAACCTAGCGGGAGTTCCAGACTAGCGTTAGAATCATGGGAGATCACAAGCCCAGCACCGAACGACTCCAAGAACTGGGAATCAACTCTTTACTTCGGCGACACAGGCAATCTTTACGAAAACCTTCTAGGGTCTCGGCTTCTGAATAATGATACTCCTGATCTCCTGGGTGAGCGCGTTTTGATGGTGCTACATCTAGTGATCTACCGGAAGAATAACCAAAGCACTTGGTCTTTCCGTTTTAAACTTTAGAGTAGCGGAGATAGTTATGCACCCGTATTCTTCTTTCTTTCAACCTCGAGGCGGATGCCAACATCTAGATTATCTAGATTACCGTGAGAGACAAGCAAGATTAGCGCTACAGCAGACTGCGCGCAGAGTTCAGATATGTGATTCTCTAGAAGAAATGTTCCATCGCTCAGCTACGTTTCGTAGAAGTAGCAGAATCTCATCGCTAAGCTACTACCCTATACACCCCCCTCGCGCGGCGCCCCTCTCAAGAGCCACACTCACTACTAAACCACACTTCACCATATTGAGAGACGAGGTATTATCCAGAGTACTACAGCAGGTACGGTAGCAATCATCCCAAGTGTTCAGTCACCCCCCCCCCAAACTCCCGCAAACTCATTCGC